AATCAGTTTTGCCATATGAGAGGCAACCCATAGAATGGTTGCTTGGCAGCATGGAGGAGCAATTTCCACGTATATTTGCAACACATGTGCCAGCAACAAAATGGATTATTACAGGATTATGATATGGCTGCTACTCTAACAAGACAGAAGCCTCAGTGATTCGGGGAGCCTTTGCAGCCTTGAAAACTTTGTGTTGATGCATACCGCATGGCCTCATCTTGTGTCACAGGTTAGGATGAACTAAAACCCTTCATTGCCATCCAAAAGCGCTTGAAAAATCTCCAACTTTGAAACATGTTTACTCTAAGAGGACTACTAACTATGATAAACAACAATAATCATAAGAAACGGATTTTATTTTGTGGCAGTTTAAAGATGCTTTGCCTTACAGCTGGAAACCCCAAGTTTCATTGTCATCAAGCTACCATACAAAAAAGTTGGGAAAGTCATCCACAAAAGCAGACTTTATAATTGCTGCTAACAGTAATTAGTGCTTTAACATGACCGACTTCCATAAGCTCCCTGACACATCACTCATAATGCCCGACTCTTAAGAGAACTGGACAATAAAGTACATGTGATCTGTTGTCCTTTGAGGAGGAAAAGAGACTGCGTTTTTTATTAAATTAGAGCCAAGGGGGCATTTGCAATGTCATCAAAAGCAGAGATGTGAGGGCAATTGAGGAAACAGGACCTTCAGAAAAATTAGTGTGAGACGAAAGTCTTGAAGTTGTTTCCACACACTATGGTATGAAGCTGAATAGCTTCTTTTCTGATAAAGATTGTCTCAAGACTATGTAAAGTTTTCCATTCCAGTAATCCAAATTTGGAATCTAATCTTGAGCACGTGACCAGCAAAATCCCATGAGTAGTATAGATGTGTTTTGAAGGCTCATTTTATGACAGTTGGGCAAATATCTTCTTGTTCTCTGTTGCCTCCCACTTCTTACAGGAAAAATAATCAAAAAAAAGGGTTGTATGTAGCCACAAAACTGAGATTACGTTCCAAAATGGATTAATCTCTTAAGAGCATCGCACTCCTAGGGATAAGACTAAGCAAGAGTCCCTCTAATTGCCTAGAATATCTTAACCAATAACTTGCAATCACAGTGAAAACATATTTCATTAACATTAAGAATAAATCATTTACATGATAGCATAGTAGACGAAAAACGACAGCTTTTCCTATCTATCTCAGTGATATTTCAATCTGCCCATTACGGAAAATACAGTAAATAGATACTAGAGTGCTATAGGTTCCTATTTGGTTGAGTAGTTTTCTTACAAAAACCCTTTGTTAGTTGGAACCAGCTTTGCACAGAAGATCCATTTTCTCCAGTAGGTGTGCATGTTGGCTGAAAAGTAAAGAAGCTCAGGGAAAAGTCAATTAACTTAGAGACTACTCTGAGTAGGATCTAATAACAATCTGTTACATCCACAACAGTTTGTGATATAAATTGATGCTCAATTAGTACATGTGAGACATGTGAATACATGTGTCTCCATATGATATAGATAGTGAAATCTACCATGAAGTTTTTCATTGGCTTGAGTTTGAAATAATACAATCATCCCAAACCAAAGGCTTAAACAAAGAAGCCTCTACAGAGTACTACATTACCATACATCGATTTGCAGTCGCTCTCCTGATCGTGGTCTTTGCCCATAGCAAATATGAAACAAGTGTGAAAATACGAAAGGTAACCCTAATTATCCTGCATTTATTGTGAACTAAATATACACACATGGGTAATTTTATCTGACAGAGATAAGCTAACTGAAATTACTTTGCATTTGTGGTACACTAAGAGAACACACACAGACAAATACCACAGATCAGATGATATGTGATAATTTGCTACTGCACGTTACGCGCTCATGTGGTTAAGCCAATAGACCAATAAAATCCTTTACAACACACAATACATTCTGCATGTATTTTTTTCAATTTTCATAATTAAAGAAGGCTTTTTTCCTCCTACATGGTAATTACACTATTTCTTTCATACCTCTTCCTGTAAAACTAGGCAAACTATTATGTTACATCTGACTGTATAATGTTCAGAGGGAGAGAAAAAAATCATAGTTACAGTATTGTAGAAATTCAATTTTAATTGTGTTCTGAATGTGCTAGACACTCTCCACGCACAGGAGGAGAAAACCCAATCTGTCCCAGAGAGTTTGGAGTCTCAGAAACCTCTTTAAACTGACCTAAAGCAACCTTGTCAAATTTTGTGATTTTAGGGTCTAGTATATTGGGACTCACTAGAATAAAGGCAATGACTGTGTGTACCGTGAGAAAACCAGGAATCCTGTTAATCCAAATGTATAAAGTCATAGCATTAAGGCACACAGGTGTAGGCATACATACACCATACACAAAGTTGGAATATAGTACATATCATAACTGCAGTAGTTACCGGTGCGATTTTTTTTTCTCTGTTTTTCTTCCACAAAGCATATGATTAAATAATGTCCAAAGACTCTCTATATCCCTTCCGTTGCAGCATTCGCCTTGTTTATAATGTCCTATCTCTGTCGGAAGTGTATACAATAGGAAGAGAACAACACACGGGTCAAGTGGCTAGCTGTGATTCTGTTAAGGCACTCTGGGGTGTGTTTCAAGGACACTAACGACAAGCCTCCTGTTTCTGAAGGCACAAGACGACAACAAACCCAAGACATGAGCCAGCAGATCACTAGAATACATCCTGTCAGATAATAGAGCACTGCATATTTTTATGTACACGTAATTTTGTGTTCTCTGCAGCAGAATGCAATCTTTTCTTTGAATTAGGAAATAAGATTTGTCTTTAGAAAACTCTGTACAAGAGTCATAACTTCTTTGGCAGAGTCAGTGTGATGGGGAGTATATTTCTACTCCACCATAGAGAGTTTGTAAGAGCTGTGGAAAACTAGAACCTTTTGAACACTTCCAGTGGGAGACAGAAATTCCCAGTAGAAAGAGAGTAGATGAAAAAACATTACTCACGATGACTGGGAAGCTTTCCTCCTCAATAAATAGTCCACAACATCTGGGTCAGTCTCTAACAGGCTAATAAGCACTTCATTCTGTAGGTCAGGGGAAACCTATGAAGATCACAACATAAAATACTTAATTGGAGATGAGAATTTTTTCACATCCACTCATTTTGGCACTATGCTTACTCTAAAAGAGCAAATACAAGCACATTTATAGAGAGTATATTAAATAAACATTCACAAGCTTCCACTTAAAAAGAGAAATTTCATGTAACAGGTATAAACAGGACTAAGAACACTTTGTGCAACAATGTCAACTACTGATTCCTGTTGAATAACCAATACGCTTTGGTATTCTATCTGGAAACAACAGTGGGATTATTCACATATTGCAGTCTCAAAAGCTCCCGTTCAACATCCTCACCTTACATCCCCCTTCAAAAATGTGTAGACGTTTATGAACTTCTATTCCAAATGACCGCACATCTCTTCTTTCAGAAACTTGTATGTGAAATGCAATTACACAGGAAGGAAAAAGTTTCTTCATCTGTATTCCATGGCATTTCTCTTATTTATATCCCTCTCATATGGAAAATTAACAGTGACTGTTCTATCTCCAAACTTCTCCAATTGCTTAATTTCAGGGAGATTTGCTGTAGGTCAGCATTTTTCTAAATCAAGCCCCATAAGCATTTAATGGTCAGATATACATATGGCCAAATCCTGGGATCTAGGTAGCACTTAAATAGCTTATACTCTTATCAGAACTTGAGCACTTTGAGCATTTTTCTTCCATGGATAATTCTTCAGTGGCATTGATCGCACAGCAAAATGAAGTTTCTAGCCCTCTGAAGCCATACCGTTTTAGTTACACACAGACCATCAGGTGCCTTTGACTCTATCTATATCGCACTACAGAGATGCGTTTACAGCACAGATGGTCATCACTAATCTGCCTGTCTGATATAAGTTCACTTAAATTACAGAGTTTGTTTATCCATAACTCAGGTTTACAAGTAGATCTTGTTGGATCGCCAGTCAGTCTGATTTTTGGGTAGCAGCAACAGGTTCAGTCAGAAATTGTACCATCTTCATCTGGAGTTTGGTCTCCTAATTTGCCAACTCTTTCTAATGCACTTTCTATGGAGATCAACTTTAAAAACACTTGATAGCTTCAGCTGGTGCAGGATATGGCAACATCTCCTGGACAGGTAAGAGGAATGGCATCCAAAAGTGGCCCAAGTCAGCTTTGTGCTTCCAGCTGCATTTTACATGAGTCTTATCAGTTCTCAAAAGGGTTTGTGCCCATCACACTGTAACATTCAGGTCACCCTTCACAAGATTGAAACAGATGAAGCCATCTGAGAAACTTGAACCAACAGCCCAGGTTCACCTATGATGGATGGAACTGGAGGCACAACAGTTTCAGCAAGGGGTCGTCAACTGTGTCATCTGCTTCTGGATGCAATTTGTCAGAACCTAAATCTCTTGACCTTCAGGTCACACTGCACGGTCCATTTGTTCTCCCTGACATTTACTGGAAAACAGGAATAGAATTATTAATAGATTCCTCAGGGGAACACCTCAGCTTGGGAGGTATTGAGGGTGTAAAGTTACAGACTGGGCACATTTTTTAAAAGAGAGTAAATAATTTGGAAATAAATGAAGATATGCATCATTTAGTTCAAATTGATCCAAAATCTCTACGAAAAATAGATGTAGCCGCCTATGAGTTTTTGTCTTCCTTTTTTTAAATTTTATATTTGGCCTCTAAGCTGGAAAAATATCTTACTGATGGGCATTTATATATCATTCTTTAATTCAATTATCTTCTTTTTACAAGAAGACATTTTTGGAAACCTGTCACCCTGTGACTTCTCAATTTAGATAGCCTTTCTGTAAAATGGAATTCACTCCAGATAAAATTTGAGGGTAAACCAGAGTTCGTGTCTTTCTGTGTGTAACTTACTATCCAGTTAAGTTTCAAGCTGCTAAGCATATAAGAATCTACTAAATGGACTTTGCCAGCAAAATAAAAACATATTTTTCATTATTTATAAAGAAATATATATAACATACCTGTAATTTTAAACTTAAGCTTACAGGGAACTCCTCTGTGGGTATCTCTGGAAGATGTTACAGAGCTGCAATAACTGCTTAACTGGCAGCTGTGGTTGAGCAGATACGTGGTTGAGCAGATGGATGAGAACTTAAGGTTAATGGACAGAAAGTTAAGGACACATGGGAAACCAAGGCACTGCTCAAATAACAGCTGCTGCAGCTGCCGAGACTATACTGGGACTGATCAGAGGCTGTTGCATTTGGGCACAGAACAAGGGACCCTCGACCTCTCCCCTCGGTGCTACTGGAGTGGCACAGAGAGGCAGCCTGTGACTGTCTCCCCAGTGCGGAGACCACAGTAACCTCTGAAAACAAAAATATGAAATTTCAGGCACTATGTACTGCTGCTTCTTTGCAGCAGGACTTGATTTGGGAGCTGGGAGATGTGAATGCATGACTGAGCTACTGAATGAATAACCATAAGCCCTTTTTCTCTCCATCCTCCACGCCAAGGCCAAGCCAACGAGGCAAAGTGTGGTTGAGTTCTGCCTCTCCGTATCCAGCTGCTGGGCTCTTAGTTCAGAGAGTGGCAAAAAGAGACCTTTGTACCTTCCTGCACAACGTTTTTATGCATCCCTAAGACTTGCTGTAATTGATAGGAATTGGAGAAGAAAGTCCTGAACAGCAACGAAGCAAGGCAAGAATCCATCTTCTGTGCTAAATCTACATGTTTGCATACTGCTGAGGTTAAAGAGAATTGCTTGAATTCATTTTAGAAATATAAACAGTCCCTGGTAATCGTCCCTGGTAAGCCGGGTTCTTCTGACAAGCACAACCTTCCTGATCCACCAATAAGTCAGAATCATTCTGATGTTTGTGGACTAGGCTACATAATACATCTCGATTTCCAAGGTTTTATTTCACAAATGCTGCTCCAGTTTCAATGCCGAAGCTAGTCAGAGCTTTATAACCTCCCCCCCTCCTCCCTAAATAACAGAAAAAAAAACCCAAAACACAAAAACACCTTGGCAGTAATATGATGTAGGTTATAGCTGTAGTAATGCTCCAATCCAGATGTTTCTCTTTTTATAAGCAGCACAAACATCAAGTATAAAAACAGTCTTGGCTTGGCCCAGCTCCTGTGGGTTTGGGAAACAACTTGCTGCTGCCTGATTTCAAATGACCAGTTTTATTACAAATAAATGTACAGGTCTCTTCCTACCAATGTCTCAGTTATCAAAGGATGCACTGGAATAATTGTCTTCAGAATACAAAAAGTCTCTCTGTGCTGCTTAACAGTCCATTAGAAAGTTGAAAGTAAATCCTGGTAGAAATTTTATGGAACAGTAACTAGAAGCAATTTGACACAATCATACATATCAAGGATCATGGGTGAGTCCAGACATTAATCCAGAAAATACGCTTTGCCAAGTTTTTTGTTAAATTATAGCACTGGAAAGAGCAAAAGTACCCAGAGATGCTCATCTGTTGGACATTCATGACAATGTCACATTAATGTATTCCAGCTCTCAGGAGAACATCTGAGGTAGGTTTGCCTTTCTCTCACCTGCAGCGAGCCTCTTAGGTTGAAATCCATACCCCCAGATTTTAATCTCTCTCTACAATCTGAAAAAGCTACTCCAGAAAATAGAATTCCTTCTATTTCTTCCACACCACATGTAAACTTCAGATAAAAATGTAAGAACTGAAGAGATAAAGGAATAAATCTGTCAAAATTAAAAGAGTCCATATGTAAGTTAGTCTAACCCTAAGTCCCACCTTTTCCACATTAAAAGTTTGAATGTAAAGTATTATGTGCTGAGATAAGGCTGTTCCATAAAATGTTTCTAAAGAGAAATAAAAGTAAAAATATTTCAAGTATTCTTATTCAAATAGTGTTTTAAACTTGCTGTAACACAATCATCAACGCCAGCCATGCTCTGGACAAGCAGAACTTCTCACAGGAGTGAAGCTCTGTCACTTTCTTTTGCTGTGGAAAAATAGCACCTCAAATTTTCCTAAACTGTGAGAAGCATTAAAAAGAAAAAAAAGGAAAAAAGAAAAAAATAAAGAAGAAAAAAATAGAAAAAGAAAAAACAGAAAAAAAGACAAAAAGATTTCTAAGAGTCTCACTGGAATAAGAACAAAAGTAACGCAAAGGATATAACGAAAGGCAATACAACGTGAAGGAAAAGATGAGAAAACCACACAGTTCATCTGAGGCTAAGATCAGGCTCAATAGAAAAGGCTCATTATTGCTTTCTCATGCTTTTCTCCCTGCTGAAATCTGGAAGGGACCTTGCCCTTACAGTACGATGTCTGTCAGGCCTAAATGCCCACAGTCCAGGCTTGTCTATCTTCTGACCCCGACTTTCTATCTAGCACCCAGCCTTCCTAAAGCACTGAAGGTTTCCAGAGCAGTCTTCATTCTTCCTCTGGCTTTGGGAACTGATCACCTCAAGATCACACCCAGTGCTGCTTAGTTAGAAGGAAGAACAAACCAAGCTATTTTTACCTTTTCAAGTCTTAAGTTTTTGTTACAACATTTAGGTCTACTAAAATGAAGACAGGATGGTACCCGACCGCCACTAGGTCTGACTAGCCTCTGCTATCCCAGAGGAAGGCACTCTCTGCCTATTTTGCTCCTCAGGGCAAGGAGATCCTTAGTTAAACCAAAAGCAAAATAGTTCCCCAACTTCTGAAACTGAGAGGTGAAAGCATTTTCAGTATTTTCTTTGAAGCTAACAAGCAAGGCTAGTTTAGTACACAATTAAATAACCAATTTCATCATTTCCACAGAGAAATCTTCTAAGAATATATTTTACCTACTCAGAAACCATTCTGGGCAAGATGTAAGCACCTGTTTTTAATATTATTCCTTATTGTAAAGCATTCTCCTTGAGATAAAGATATTTTGCTTGCTTACTAATTCTAATCACCCCTCAATAACACAGTTTCCACAGTTTTTCATCATAACCTATTTTCATACCAGCCAGGTATTTCATTTCCTCTTTTGAAGTCTGAAATGCATAGGAGTAACATGAAGAAATATTCACCTACCATGAAAAGGGCTTCATAGTTTTCAATCATCTTTTGTACAACAGCTATGATAGCAGTACTCTCTTCAGCTCGAGCTGAACTCTGAACCGTGAATTCTTTGTCTGTAGATTTCTGCTTGTGCAGCAGGTTAGGGCCAAAGATAGTAGCCAGGTTAAGTGACGTCATTTTGTTCCCAGTAATCTAGAAAACAGAATATAAATGAGGTGTTCTGATGTAAACAGATACGTATGCACTCACATAGAACATCTGGCAGATGGTTCATTCACAAAAACCAGAAATGTGTGTTGGGTCAGACAGAAAATGAACAAGTTTTGTAAGTACTGGAACACTTTGCACTCTGCAATAACACTCTGCAATAAGCAATATGGATTTTCTGGCCAGATTTACAAATGGACTGGAGCAGCAGAGGGTGAAAGTGTTCCCCGTTCTTAGCTCCCTGAACTGCAGCAGTAACATACTTCATTTGAATTCAGGGAACATCCCTTCCTAGTTTTCTACATCAATACATTACTGTCTCTTAAGACCAAATACTGAAAATTGCTGGCTTTTTCAAACAGTGCTAATGATTTCAAATAGAGTAATGAAAAGCACAATTTCCCTCCTTTGAGCAGTTTAGATAATTGAGGAGCATACTTCTAATTTTCATTAGTATTTTCTTGGGGTTTTTTTGTTTCCTGGAACATGCCGAATATTTGGTTGAGTTTTTTTTTTTTTTTAATTTCTTCTACTTTTACAACTCTGTGCTCAAAGAAGCAATAGTCACCTGATCTGGGAGGAGCTAGAAGGCTGGTATAAACATTAGACAACACAGAAATGATTTGAGAAATACGTAATACAGCATATTTTAAACTAAAATTTTCATTGTCAAATTTGTCATTATACTACTACTTTTTTGCTCTTCTTCTATTCTTTTAACATGGTGAAAAGCAGGGGTCACATGCTTCCTCTCTGTGTCTCCACTTGGTTGCTATTCTGGGAATGCAAAAGAAGCTGCCAGCAGTTCGACTATATAAGACTCTAAGTGAATTTCAGCTGTTGACAATACTTCTTGCCAGCTGTTGACAATACTTCTCGCAGGCTTTTTTTAAAGAAAAAAAATACCATATGAGTCATTTTTCACTTGTTTCAGTTACATTTGAAAGGATTAATTAAATAAAAGAGGCGCTGAAATAGCATGTCAAGAAATGACTGGTACAAAATGAGTCCTTTCAAACAATATTTTAATTCTTTTGTGGCTGGCCATTTAGTGAATGTTGAACTTTAAACTGTAAACCAATTTTACCTCCTTTATTTTTTACAGACTTCAGCTAGACTGTTGGTAAAATTAGCTTTTTTTTTTTTTTTTTAATCAGTGGGACCATGACATAATCTTGAAAAGATGCCTGCACTAAAGCAGGTGCGTGAGCAGTCATAACTAATGCGCCAGCTCTTGGTTGAGAGACCCATCCCAGCACAGCTGCGAGCATGGCATGGCCCCTGGTTTGTGCACCACCAGGCAGCTGGCTGTCTTCAGGATAGCCTGCCTGGGCACGAATATCGTCAGAGTACTAAGCCACCAAGTATGCACAGGCACGTGGAGCCTGGAGCGTGCCGAGACAGCCTCTGGCTGTGCCTGGATCCACATCTGCAGGCTATTGGCACAAATAGCGAGTCCTGTCTCAGGGAATTGCTTAAAATATGGCGCAAACATATCCACTGAAATTAACCAAATGAGTCACTTAAAGTTAGTCATCGGTCTTCATCTTGGTGAGAGAAGGGCTCTTGGAAGAAGGGCCTGTGGGCCAAAACTTGCCTGCATTTCTTCCAATGACAGCAAACACTGTAATAAAATATTTTCTCTTGCCCTGTATGCCGTCATTCACTTAATCATTAATGAATAGCTTAAATAATTGTAAGCAGAATACTGTATTATCTGTAAAAGATATGCAACTGCACATAATATTCCTTACGTTTACAATACTGCCAAGATGGTTTGCATACATTTGCCTTGCCAAAATACCTGTAGCAGAGCTGATGTACTGTTAAGGGGAATGAAAATGCCTGTATTACAGCTGATGTGCCAAACCAACTCTCCTAAGCAGCATTAGACCCTAGCCCTGCAATAAGATCCTCTTGGGCACATTCCTGAACCAAGAGGGAACTCCTTGCTGGATCAGGGGGACCAAAACCATAGCTCTCATAGATATGCAACATTTTTAGCACAATGAAGTTATTACAGGCTGCTCTTTTTGGATATCTTCCATTACAGCGGTGCAGTTTTCTACCAACTCCTTGCTGTGGATGCAAATAATAACACTTAGAGTGGGTTTTAAAACAAAAAAGGCCCTCAAGTCATTTCCAGCACATTTGAAAGTTAGGACTTCAGGCAAAATTCAGTCTCCAAGTGCCTACTCTTAAATACCAATCAACCTATAAAGGTGCCCAAAACTGAGAGAAGTCATCAAGGTTCTCTGTTTGGAAGATAACATTCTGTAGGAGTTTTGACAGTGTCTCAGAAGTAACCTGCTCAGGTACGTGACTCAAATACCTTAGTCTCTGTTGTAGTTCAGAGGGCAGAGAAGTCCCTCCCAAGTCCCTCCCAGAGATAAACCGGTACAATTTTGTCAAGCAGCAACAGACTGTATCCATCTCATTCAAAAATATTACAGCTGCTACCTTTTGCAAAGCAGCCCACTGATTAAAGCATTTTCCTAGTAGAACATGAGAAGCCTGGATTTTCAGATCTTCTTGGTGTGAGGGGCTCAAATGCACAAGTCTTAATGCCTGGAAGTACTCCTAAGCCACATAGTTACGGGTATTCTTGTCTCCATGGGATGGGTGCACTCCAACTTCTCTGTTGAATTTGGTGTAAAAGGGAAGAGTAAGGAGGCGAGAAGGAAACCAGGCAACAATGGATCTGACTCCCTCTAGTGACTAGGTCCATCGGGTGGAAGGGGTAGAGCTGGAGTTCCTGTCCTTTATTTTTATTCCTCATTGCTCGGTGCACACAGGGAAACCAAAGGAACAGAAAAATGAACTGCTATGCCCAAAGGTCATAAAAAAAGGAATAGCAGAGAATGAAGAGAGAATGAAAAAGCATACCCTTGAATGCCTGACACTTTTGTATGAGAATTTTTTTTCCATAGAATGTAATAGGATAAAACAAGGGAAAAAAGGATGGATAACATTCGATGCTCCTAATAAGGTCTATTAGGCTATGAATCTCCCAAAGGAAGTGATGCATGCCTTACTGATTAAATCATACAAAAATTAAAGTTACACAGCCCTAAGAACACAGTGTAGTAAACAAGTAAACGGCAAGTGTGCGAGCAAGAATATTAAATCTCTCCCCTCTTTCAGGGATATGACACCATCAAGATTGTTTCGCAGCTTCAGAAATCTCTTTTTAGACCATTAATTAAGCAATATCAAACGACATAAGTGACCTGCACTTACCTCTTGGCCATCTTTGTCTGTGGTGTCTTCTGCGTGGCCAGCCACTGTGGAGAGGAACTGCAGCAGTCGGTGTAGGGTATCGCAGTTACAGGGAGGTAGGAGATAAATGAGAAGCTGTAAGGTGCTTAGCTGTTCATCTGGCTCTAATACTAAGAGGGAAAAAATACATTCTAAGAAAAGCACTCCAACTAACTTGAAAGCAGAACAAATATACTGTTCCCAGCCCAAAGGAAGGCATAAGAATAATTTTCCTTATAATGTCAGAAGAAAGAGAGAAAATTTTAAGGAAATATCAAAACCATAACAAACATTGTTACAGGATTTTTGCTTTGGTTTGTCAGATTTTTGCTCACAGGTTCACATGAGCTTTTCCCAATCTACAGGGGAGCTGAAAATCCACGTTCCCCATTCCATCACTGTCCCTGAATACAAAACTTTGGTTTGATTTTCTACTTACTGCATTCATTTAGGTATAGCTACTGTTATACAGGACACCATTTGGAAGCATTCCAGACCAGTTTATGCTTTAATCATTTAAAATTGGTTTTCCTACAGTTTCATGTCTTACAGTGGGACTGGGAAACTGGAAAAGCAACTAGAAAGATCAAAGAAATTTTATACTTTCTGTAGTCTCTTCAACCACCATCACGTTAACCATCTAAAATGCAATGGTAGCCAGTAGCAAAGGTGAGGCAAGGCCAGGATCTCTCACACACAAGGTCTCAAAAGAATTTGAAGAACACATACCAAGTAGCAGCTTAAGCTTGAAGGGTCCAAGCTTTTTTTCCTCCCAAATTTGTGAGAGTCTGCACCCAGCTATTAGCATGTGCCAACATGTTTGGGAGTATGTAATATAAAGGCTCTGAGGACCATTAATTATCATGAAATTTGAAATTTGAAGCTAGATTTTTGAAACCAGACTGTAACTTTGGTAAGTGAATAGCTACAAAAGTTAAAAGCCTTAATGATGCTAAGTTAACAGGATTCAAATGGGATCGGCCATCTGCTATTGCAGAAGCAAAGACAGGATCAGGGTTTAATAGATCACATGAATCACATCCTATATACAAATATAAAAATATGTATCAATAGATAGTAGGGAAATCTCTATTGTTTTAGTGTTCTGGGCTACACTTACACAACATGAAAGTCAAGGAAAGACCTTAACAAACTATAACATACAAATATTTGGAGTGAACCAAGGCTATGGGACTAAACGTGCAGAAAATATAATATGAATAGTGGAGATGACAGAATTCAAAGAGCTAAACTTTTGAAAACCAGGAAATCAAGATGCTGCAAAGCTCACAGAGAGTGTTGATGAAAGGTGTATAAAGTTCTCTGGTGAGAAGTGGGTCAGGCATGTCACGTAGGAATTCCTTTAATAAAGCAGCAACATCATGAATGCTGTGCTCTTCGTCTAACACAACATCTATGCCTCGGTCAAATTCTTCACGTAACTGAAAAAGATCATGACAAAAAAACAATCACTCCTCATTGTCCCCATGAGTATGCTCCAACAGAGATCTTTTAAGATACAGATTTACCCATTTACGCTTTCCAGATTGCAGAAGACTAGTCTGTGGTAAGGTCAAAGATATAATGGATGTCTAATTGTTGCTTATTCCCTCACACAGAATTTGAAGTTTGTACTGGACTGTAATAAAATATTTCTTTTACAACTAATACACGGCACTGTTTTATGAAAAAAGGCTCGTAACTAAATTTAATGTTTGTAGAATTGTTAGATTAATACCACAGGCAGAAACCAGGGAGAATGAGGAAAATTGCAAGACAGGCTTTCTTGTACCTTACTGCTTTGTCCAAAAATCTCAGGATCAGACTAAAAAGAGTGAAAGTCACATTTTATAACATACATGTTTTTCTACTAAAATATTAATAAGAATAATAAGACAGTGTTAAAGGCCACGAAACTCACATTTCTTGTGTGGCTTAAAATTGTATTTGAACATAAGCAGTAAGAAGTCAGGTGCACTAAGACCTCACGGCACTTGTCCGCACACATCCTGTTCCGCTTTCCTGATTTAGTTATATTCGCTAAGTGACCACCACTAGGGAGTTAACAAACACCAAACTAAAACCATCATGAGCTACTGCTATTTTTCCAGCCACAGTCCCCAGATAAAATACTGTGCAAGTCAAAGGCAACAAACTCCTCAAAGGCAGAAGAAATCACTCTCCCACATCTGACATGCCTTATGAAGAGATAAAAACCTGCCTTTCTGGAGAGATTTCCCAGCACCAATAGCAGAATTTGGCACATGCTTTCTTCAGGCCAAGAGCTCCATCTCTTACTGTCATGTTCATTTTGAAAACAGTAAAGGTGTTTTAAACTACTTCCTAGGAAATTTTCATATCTTTGCTGATACTATCAGGAAACACAATCTCACATATATCTGCTCTTGAGAACAGTCATAGCTAAATCGAATCGAACAACAGGAAATTTCAAATACCAGCCTCTTTTATTAGGATTAAGATATATTACAGAGACGTTATAGGGAAGAAAGAAGGTGAATCACAAACAATGTGCCTGTGGTAATCCGTGGTAAATTTTGATCACAGGCAAATCTATGCGGTGTAGATAGGGTGCAGGAATGCAGAAAATCTTGTATTTTCTGTTGCAGGTGTGCCTTCCATATTAGGTGTGAAAGGCATCCTGTAAAACTGGAGTCTGCTTTCTCATTTGTTAAACAAGACTACTATTAATACCATAATACTAATTATCATTAATAATTAATAATAGTTAATGATCAATAATTGCGTATGTTATTAAGACCAGGATTTTTTCTTTCAGATTGGTGGTAAATATGGAACATCGCTGTGGAGCCCCATAAACTACCTCCATCCAGAGGACTGCATCTGCAGAGCTACAGAAGTAACTGAGGAAACAGATTAGCACTGCATCAGGAATTTGGGCTTCCTAAATAGCTGTCTGCATCATAAATTGCTGCTGCAGCCTTGAATATAGCACTTCTGATCTGTTAGCCCCGTGAGGCCTAGAAGGGTGCCATAATTAGCACAGTATCAAATAATCATCTGTGGAACGGGGACACATTTCCGGCCGAGGTACGACAGCTGGGAAAAAGCCATATATTTCTATGTTTAAACCTTAAGTCTCATGGACTTCAACCACAGTGAATGCTTCCGGAAAGTGCCCTTGGGGAACGAGAGCGCCCACTGGCGTGCAAGATGTGGGAGCTGAGGACATCCTGACTGGGAGAGGCAGGAGCCAGCAACACTCAAGCCGTCAGGCTCTGTGAAAAGGACTGCCCTCCGTCTGCTTAGCAACCTTGCTCCGCTCATGTAATTATATCGTTTCCGGGCGCATGGTAGTACCTGGCATGCAGCGGTACCGCACGTACCACTTGGAGCCAACACTAGCGCGAGAATCCTTGTCCTACGCCCCACTGAACGTGAAAAAGCTCTACGGCTGTTCAGAATAGACACGTTTGTTCTAGATTTTCTTTTCCTGCTCAGCAACTGCAAACCCTCCTGGCACATTTATTTATTTATCTATTTACTGCAAGAAAATGCAGTTGAAATGGGACGTTTTCTAACTGCGGGACGGATGGGAGCAAAACTATGCCTGCTTTCTATACAAAACTAATAAACAGCTGCAAAAGCACAACAAAATTTGAGTATTGGGTTTGGCTTTCCATGGTTCAGAAAATGAATGGAATTTTAATTGAATCCAGATTTTATCATGTGTTCATGTTGACAGCATTTACTATTTTAATTGCAAGGGCCAAGTTGACCCTTCCATGTTGTTTAATAAAATAAATTGGTTCACCTAATTCAATAAATTAGTCCATGTAATAGAATACATAAACATCCAAACCTCTTGATTTCCTCAGCTTTTGAAAACATAGTAAAAGAAAAACTTGTGCAAGTCAGCGGTGTTCAAAGTTAGGGTTAGTTTACAAGTAAATGATCACAAGCTTTCTGCCTTTTTCCCAGATCTATGATGCAATTGTACTCAACCCTGCATAATAATATATGTTTTGTCATTTTGCAATGCAAATGACAGGCAACTTAGCCTTCCATATCCTTGCTAGTTCAGAGGTAGTTTAACAGCTGTCTCTGTAGACCTCAAATGTTTTTAACTTTGTGGTACATCAGCCACTCAACAACAGAAACTGGTAGAGAGTAAACTTATAAATCTACAGGTTATGCTGTCCCACAAGTCAGAATGGAGACTTCAGACTAGCTATTCAAAGTAACTTTCCAGAGAGCCAACCGTTATGTTGTGTAGTTTTGCAACACAAAACTATTATTTTGGGGATCAGATGCAGTCAAGCCTTCTTTTGCTCCTTTCTATTTGTTTTTTTTATGCCGGGGTATTTTCCTGCAACTTTTCATCTTCTCCATTACGACTCACATCACAATCATTAAGTGCCACTCTCTACTATTTTGTCAGTTCAACATGTACAGGACTTCTGGGAATAACAACGAAATAACTAGACTGAGGAAACACCCACTTCTGTCTTTGTTTCTGAAACCTAACTGTACACTATCTTCGCTTTTTCAACATTTGGCTGAGACTAGGACTTGGATGGGACTGTTCTAACCTTCAAGCTTAATAGGGGTAAAAGAAAGGTGAAATTTGGGAGCAGCAATTTGAGGGTCAAAGAGATTGTTCTATGCTTGCATATTTTCTCATACTGTAAGTTTTCCAGAAAAGATTTACAGTTTGGGTTTACTTTGGGAGCTTCAGCTGTTTCTGAGATAAAACTAACAGCCAAGATTTTTTTTCCCCTACAGTGTAACTTTCAGAAAATTTCATCATTGTAGTCTATTCAGATTTCCAACCCTCTGCTACTTCTGCAGAGAAAACATACAAAGACTGTCAACCTGCTGAGATACCGACAAGGATTTAATCAAAGGTAGAAAATGACTGGAAATGGCCTGTTATGAGCTATCACAAACACAGTAAAGCAACGGACACAAAAAGCCCTAATTTCACCAAGTAAGAGATGAGGAAGAAATCACCCAACAGGAAGGATTCACATTTGTTTGTTTTGTAGCTGGTGAGGGAAAAGCATGACATTTGCATCCATATTCACTCACCTGTCTTACTCTCTTTTTTGAGCTTCCAACTCTGAATATTCCTACTGTCTGGAGACCTGCAAGTATAGCACATTAGACAACTGTTTTATTGTTTAATATTCTGCTGAAAGTTGCATTGAATTAAAGCAATCTGGGCTATTTGTGTACTAAAGAGTAGAAAAAACATTTTGCTCTACAAACTCATATACTTACCACACTGAGGCAAACCTCAGCTGTCTTGGAATAAGTATTCATCTAGTGTACTTTTTAAGGCTCTCACATCACCTAACCTGCAAAACAGCATCTCGGTGACCTTTCCTGTGATGCCCTTTTGAGATATTGAGGCACTGCTTGGCAGGTGGAGGGGGCACTTCCAGGAAGGATATCAAAGGAAATGGGCAATGAATTATCTGAATACTTGGACACTGAGCCAGGTCTTTGAAAATGGGAAACAGCTGGTGTTTGGGGTTGCCCCCGGCTCTATAACGCTTACCATGGCAAAGCTAAGAGTTTCCATGAAAAGGACATAAGCAGGACTCTCAGGTAGAGCGCCCTGGGAACTGTACGAAGTTTATAGGGTAAGAAGAGTTACTATATCAAGGGAAAGCTATAAAGTACTACTGTATTTCAGGCAAAGTGAGGCATATTTACTTGCTATAGCATTTAGACTTTAAACTATTCGGGAATGGAAGTTGCCTACTATTCCCTGAGGAATCAGTTCAGACCTTCTTCTGGCCCCGCAGGTGCTACCAGAATATCCAAACAAGCAGTAACAGGTGGATGTTGAATGGGCAGATGCTGACAAGTAACAGAAACTGGAAAAGATGACAGTAAATGAGGTGCTAATCTCTTTAGCAATGAGAACGTGAATGGACATTTTAGAGACTCAAACACTTGTATACATAACACCATTTTATACAGTTAGATATTATTTTCAAAAAAGGATGAGATTATCTACAAGCCTTGAAAAATTTATTGTTTGCAAAGTCTATTCTGCAGCATTAATCTTCTCTACTGACACACAGGAAATGTAAAATAATTTTGTAAAACAAATGCTTTTCTCCCTTGACAGCCATGAGGCTATACTTCCCTGTTGTAGATGTGTAACTTTGCAGTGTTTGGAGTTGCAGATTCGCATCAGACAAATTCACATCAGATTCTATCTTTTATTTTTTAATCTCAACATGATACTTCCCTTAATTGGTGGAATAACACAAAAGTAACTTAGTAAATCCATGAACACTGGCAGAGAATCATCTGAGATAGAGATACTCACATCGAGCACAAACTGGAAGCCGGTTACTAGTTCCTACATGATCATGCAATATTTGTTTTACATTACAGGTCTGCAGGAAGTCAAGCCTTTACAGCTCTGGGACAACTTTATGACCCAGGGAGCACAGGGGAGGTGTCAGTCTGCCCTCGATGGACTAGGCCGTGTTTTTTTATGACTAAAAATATAAACAACTTTTTTCTTATAACGCTGTTTAAAATGGTCTTACAACGTACATGAGAAATCCCTAGGTGATTTTCTCAAGCAAATTTGGGCGAAAGGACTTATTCAAACAGGCAAATGTTTCCAGAATTGGAAACTTGGGCAATCAGAGCTTGGAACAACAACACTGTTACCCAAACGTTGCTTGAATACAAAGTTTTCCATTTCCCTAAAGCCAACGAGCAAACAGTAGAGTCTGTCTTCTATCCATCTTCTATCATCTTTAAGTTTCTCAGTCATCCAATCTTGATGACAGTTGTGGAATAGTGTTGTGGAAGACAGATTAAACTGAGCATTGAAGAACAATGATATGGTTTACAACGGATTAATCCAGAAATGCAGCTCTCTGAGATAAAAAGAGATGTCTGTCCCAAATTATCTCAGATTATTATCTCATAGTATACTATACTGAATTTAGAAACTTATACACTTAGAAAAATACATAAGGAAACATCATAAATTTTCTTTAAAAGGAAACTAATGTAAAGCAAATATTTTAGTAAGGAGTGTTGTTTAGAAAAGAATCTTTGTTATTATAGCGGGTTAAGTGGATTAAACACTTAATTACAAATGTTAAAATGCCATAAAATCACAGTATCCAATGGATACTGGGCTGGATACTGGGCCTTTTCGGCTGACTCAGCCACTTTTATGTTCTCCAATGTCAGCTAGCCTGGATTAAAGGGATGAAAGTCATTCATTTAATCATCCCTATACTTATTTGGTGGCCATGATATCTAATCTCCATAAAAGGCTACTAATGACTTGCTTACAATGTTTTCCTTTAAATATTTGGAAGCAATGTGGTTTTCAATTACGTATTACAAAAGCTTGGACTGCTGCTAAAATTGCAGTCCCTCGTCTGCAAAGTCTTTCATTTAGAGTCAGTAAATGATTTCTTGCTCATCAAATCAGGCATCAAACACATCATTTGGTGTTCCAGTTGACATAACCTAATGGTTTGTTTATTATGTGGACATACAATAACTCTTGTCTTCCTGTGGCCAAGTTATTTCAATTTTTATAAAACATCTTTACAAGACAAAGATACACTGGGAGAGATGTCAAACTGATATCCTGATTAAGTACTGTTTCTGCCTTATAGAAAGCTTGTGGGAGGTTTGTGTCTGAACAGGAGCTCCAGATAGATCATAAAAGACATAAGAAGAATATTGGTACGAGCTTATAATTCACTTCAGAGAAGGCAAGCCTGAGCCTGAGGCTGGTTAGTAGGACCTAAGCCGGGACAAGCCCGGTAGCCTTGCAGTGAAGAGAAAAAGGCTTCCTGGAGCTTATTATAATTTAGCATGTGGGTATTCTTTTTTTCGTTTCTCCATACCTCTGTCTTCAAATACTGTGTCCAGCTAAGCCTTGCACTCTTCATCTAGTTTTTTGTCATAAGATCCACTGGTTGCTAAGAATGACTTCTTGCTGACTGGCACATATCAGACTTTCCATTCTCAAGGTATGGGTGAAGCTACAGGGTGTAAAGAGCCATTTTTGCAGAGCTGAGCACCGCAGAACAAGATGAACGGCCTCCAAGAAATGGCTCTTCCCCCATGCTGGCTGGGCCAGTTTGCAAGCTTGTAGCATAGCTGCTACAATTTGGAAAGATATCCTCTAAGTAATTATTTGTGAGACAGTCAGTTTGGGAAGACATCTTCTAAGCAATTATTTGTGAGATAGTAACTTCTGCAAAGGCAAAACAGGAGGGAAAAGTGTCTGACTTTCAAAGACGTCCTTGCAATTGTAAGCATATGCCTGTTTCTCAAAATACACGTTTATTTATATTATAGTAAAAATATATCTGCCACTTCTGGGAAAATGAAATGTTCTTACCATGTTTTTCCAAGTGCTGGCAGCAACTATCTACAAGCCGAGGAACCTGCCTGTAAATAGGGTTCAGACTCAGCTTCTTATCTCTTGCCTTTTCTTTCTTGCTCTGAGCTTCTGCTGGCAAAGAAAGCTGGAGAGCTTCTAACAGTCGTGATTGATTGTCATCAAGATCTGTAATAGAGTCCACAGACATTGCGCCCTGTAAAATACACACACATGAACAATCAGTACGGCTGGAGCAATCTAAATGCTCCTAATCACAGGACCTTACCTAACAAAGACTTTTGGCTACCTACACGTTAAACTAATACACAAGGACATTTTGCTACGCAGCTTTCATAAGTGAATGAAGTTATACAAACACTAGCAGTGTAATGGATGGGAAAATAAGAACCGTTTCAATGCTGTTGCTACTACACTACAATGAACACAGTTCAGAAACAAAAAAAAAAGAAGCTTTCCACTCACTTGCCACATCCTTTGTATTGTTGTAAGCCTACATATACTTCAAAACAAGGATCAGTCAGGGTCTGCGTGTGCACCTTGGCAATATTAGTGTGCAGGCAGATATATATAAATATTTAAGCCAGATTTCCTACTTCTCCCACATCTTGGGCAATTGTATCAGTGCAAATGATGCAAATATATATACATCCATGCACCACACTCATTTCATTGGTTATACAAATAGATACAGCTGCAGAGACTGAAATAATTCTGTGTTATCATAGTTCAAAGACACATCAGAGAAGTACAGAGGTAATTTTTTTTGATAGTTCTACTTCAAGTATCTTGATATTTTATAATCATTAAAATTCTAACAAAAGCTTTGAAAACCATGTTTGGATTACAGGAAGGGACAAAAGTTCAAATAGTCTGTAAAGGATAAAGCAGCACAAGCATTGCAGGAGGTTTTGGTTTTTGGAATATTTTAATGTTCACGCTCAAGAAGAAGATTAGCTTTTTCATGTCACAAAACTACTGTCACTTTAAAATGACTATTTCTCTCACAGTCAGTCAATTTTTATTAAAATTCCCAGGTAAAAATATTTTAGGGGAAAATTAGGCTCATAAATAATAATTAAACAAAAAGAACAATTTAGTCTTTATTATATTTAGCTAACTGTATCATACTGAAGTTTTCGTGTTAGTTTCCTTTCTTGATTTAGATATTATTTTAAAATTCTCATTTAAAATATCTATTGTAAACTGTTTTCTTTCCTCCCGAAACAAATGACCTAAATAAATTACGATGATCTTCAGCATACACCATTCTAGGAAAAAAATGAAGAAAATGTAGAATTTCCATCACAGACTTTGCTGACAACTCTGATTTCTTAAAAGCAAGTTGTTCTACTGACAAGTGTATATGTATTTCATAGACTGTGGAATGAATGTGTGGAAACTCTACCTCTAAGAAATGAGAAGTGTTCAACTGCTAGGAAATTTCAGCCTCTAGAGGTGTCTTCTATCAGCCTAGACAACTGAACTTTATAAAGATTTCCAGCTCATCGGCAACTCAGATAAAGTCCATTGAGACTTCAACTGAACTTTAAAATGTTTCGTTCATAACATCTAAAATAAATATCTAACTTATTAGGTATAGACCTGTTTCTTATAGCTTATGGAAGACTTATGAACAAAACACTCACTGAAGTTTTTAGATAAATCCTTTTTTTGTTTTCTGACCCACTTCTCTAAATAATTACGAGAATCTTTGAATGCCACTTCAGACCTGACTTCTAATGTTTCTCAGAAATACATTTGCTTGATTCCCTTTATCATTTCCTGCCAAAAGAAAATAAAAAACAAATAAGATTTTCTGGCTCTGATCCATGGGTGTAAAATTCCAAACTGAACAATTCTTCTGGTTTGTCTTTAAGGATTTGGGAGCTCAGACATCAAAATTAGTTGCATAGAGATAGAACATTATATTACAGACAAAACTTTACAAGACTTTCAGTGCTCACTGTACTCTTCCAGCTGAAGAACATCATGGATTACAACATCGTGGGCTTCACTGGAAGCAAATCTAGGGCAATGCTGAGTGACACTGAAAATCCTATCACCACCCTCGCTGTGGCAGTTCCACGGATAGCTCCCGTATGATAGGTGCCCTCCTTTACATTCTGCATTTACTGGTCCTTCCCTGCTTGTAAGACATCCCCACCGAGTTCTAATCATTAGTATCAAACTCACTTAAGTCGGATTCAGATCCCTAAAATGGATGTAAATACAGTCAGCTCTCAGTTACCCTTGGGCAGTCCATCAAGGTTGTGGATTAACTGAGACACTGAGCTGGCTTTTCGAAGAGTGATCTTGAGTTCATTGAGCTAAAGTACACCACTACTTGGCAACATCAAGTCCAGGCCAGCTCTGGTTTAAAACCTCCAAATGCAAAGAAGCACACTAGCAACACACTGCATAGAGCCAGCTGCGTTCAGGCAGTCACGTTAGCTTGGGCTCAGCCTGACCTAGATGACTGTTGAGGAATGATGCAGGAGATCCTGCGCTTTATTGCCCAGCGCTGCAGGATTAACACAGATACAACATTACGTAGATCGCAATGTGCAGTAACAAAAGAAAAAACAAGTTCCACCTACTGGGCATTGCGTTTGCACATCATGGATAACAGTTCCTGCTCTGCAATGAAGAGCTCAGAATCTAAATAAATGGGGCCTTAAACTAAGCAGAAATAAAAATGAAGAAAAGTGGAGATTAAAGAGGAGGAGGAAAGAGCAAAAAGAAAATGAAGGCTAGAGGGACAGATGAGGAAGGAACGTCAGATGAAGCTTTTCATTATTTTTAAGGCCTACAGAAAGCACTGATAGCTTAAGATCTCTGTTGAAAAGACGAGCAACACTGCAGACTGTGTATGGGATCAAGTACAACCTCTGGCAGATGCAATTTCACTCTACATATGAAGCTGTGTGAGTAATAAAGCAACATAACTGAACTGTCACATGAGTGAATTCTGGCCAATAATATACGTATAACTAATAATATAAACATAGAGTCAGAGTATTCTCTAGAGTAAGCAGGCGGAAGGGGCCTTGCAGATTGACCGGGGACCAGACTTTAAACTGCTGAGCAAAATTCCTATGTAGGAAAAGCAACAACGGTGATTTCAGTCTAGCTCTTGGAGAGGTGATATCCACAGAACTCATACCAGGAGCGCTGCAGCCAGCATTAGCTTATATACTGTTTTTGGAAGCCTCAGTTGAGTGTTTAAAGACTCAATGGAATACGTAAAAGTGAATGAAACAGTTACAAACAATCCCTCCAATTTAGGCTTAAAATACACTAATGGGTCTCATGGACAGGACTACACTTTAGCTTTCTGTGCAGAATTTGTGTGAGAAACTGGTTGCATCAATTGTATGCACTACCGAGTCAACATCTTTTTAAAATTTTTTTTCATATAATTGGAAATAAACAGTATAACACTGCCCAAGAGATAATAGATAAGTACAGGCTTCCTTACCATCTCCTAACAAAGTCAGAGGAGTAGAGTACACTGATAAGTAGAAATACAAAAGCCAAAGCCAGTCTCAATATGCAACATGAGTTGATATCGATGCTAAATATTTGGCAATTCATTAAGCACATTAGTGAATAATTTTGGTACATCTGAGGGAGAAAACGTCAACTCCTTCCACATCACAGTGCCCATCCTAGTTTACTCTTAGTTCTCTGTATGTGAGCCATGTGCTATTGCATCCTCATGACTATAGCCTAAAGGCTCAAATTCCACACCGTGAAAGCTGTGATCCTGGTACTGGAAAAATAAACAAACAAACAAAAAAAAAACCCAAAGGAAAACAAAATAAAACAAACAAAACGAACAACCAAGAATCCCACAGGCTTTTAGGAACTTGGTCCTGATGGGGCTCTGTTCCTTGGATGTAACATAAGATCTGGGTTCCTTCTGCTTCAGGCTGTTCAAATACAAGTTAGAGATCGTATCACACCTTGCAAGAAGAACTGCATGTGACCCATATCTGGACACATGAATTATCTTTCTCTCACACGAAGACTGGTTCTGAGGCCAATGGGAGCATGCAGTTTACTTCTACTTTTTGTTACTGTCCATGCCAAATTCTGAAAGATACTGGCAGGCTCCCCTTCACATATACACTCAGATATACTTTGCACTCCTTGGCGAACAAAACTCCTTGTTCATACGGTCTGGAAAGGCCAATAAACGTGCAATATGTGTATGTCACAATGCAGACACCACCAAGCATCATGTCCGCAGCTCTTTGCAGACATAAAGTAGACACCGCAAGCATAAGCTTCAGCTAACAGCAAGAGGGAAAGAAGGGAGGTCAGGGGGTTCCTGGACCACCTCTTAAATTGTAATTTATTCCAGTTCTACCCTCTTAACTCTGCAGCTTATAGAGCCCTACACAGTATTTCTCCAAAGCAGGTTTCATCCTAGGGAAATGAAGGTGAGCGACCTATTTTACTCTCCAGAATCTACCCTTGTGCCCTGAATTCTTTCGCAGATAATTTAACGAGTTTTACTGGAAGTATTTTATTGTGCATTTTACTCTCTATTACAGTATGAAATTAAAATTTTTCAATGATGTTAACACCTTTTTTCCCATGGTAACAACTCTATTGAAAAAAAATAAAAGATTTCTAATGCTGCAGTACTGGAAAACTGTATGAGTTCATAGTGTAACATTTGCTTAAAGGAACAGAACCCTGCCAATAAATGGTCTACCAAGTATCTATCTTATGTGCAGGATTGACCCTCATCCCAAAGCACTGCACTGTGCTCTGCTGCCAGAGGAATCCTCATATAGCTTGTATGCAGAAATTTACTTCTAAGAGCCTAGTGCAACTTACTCTGATAACTTCAGATTTACTACTGAGGATATGACTGGAATTAGGCCACAGGGTTTTTTACTACCATAAGAATAGAGACTGATAGTTAGATTTCTCTCCAAGTTTGCGGACCTAAATTAATATAAGGATATGTAGAAATATCAATTACATAGATTTAGTCCTTCCCAGCTGAAAAAATTTGGTTGAAATTTGATGGAATTTGTAACATCTAAAAGAATTAAATAGAAGGAGGTAGATAAAGGGAGTGAACAGGAAGACTTCTAAATAACCTCTCTGTCACTTTGGGAACTGTAACAGACTCGCATAGTCCATGTGATCTTCTCCCATCAGTATCAGAGAAATAAGATTTTCCACTGCAGCTGGAATTTTCTCACATTGATCAGGCTGGCTTCCACGAAAAATTCACTGCTTAAATGCGACAGAAGAGATACTGCCCAACCCACAAATGCAATGTTTTGTTTTGTTTTCCTTTGTTTTGTTTTGCTTTGTTTTTCCTGCAGTGGCTGGAACCTCCTGACCTACAGGTATGTAGCACGTTGTTAGGGGTGTACTTACACGCCTCCTTGCTCGTGGTGCTGGCTCTGGTGTGTTAGGAGAAGTGGATTCGTTTGGTGTTTCTGAGGTTGAGCTAAGAGATGAGTTACTGCTTGAAAGTTCTTTGTTCTGTCTTTTAGAGCCAAATGGTAAGAGAAAGGCCACAAAATCTGAAACATCTTTTTGCTCTTCCCTCTGAGAGTCTTGCTTGAGTTTGTAGGCCCGGTCATTAGCAATCACTTGGGACAAAGGCATTCCAAAAGCCTGGGGAGTAAATTCTGCAACAAAAAAATTAATATTTACTGAACGGCTGACATTTATTTAGTCCGAAAAGAATTCAGTATTAAGCTGTTAAAAAGAAAAACAATCTGAAGTCCCTTTAAATGCACAATAATTCCAGTGAGGTACTGGACTGCATAATAACAACATTCAAGAAACAAAATAATAGTGGACAAGTGCAAGGTAATTGCAGTTCATGATATCCAAATCCTGCTTCCAGTTGGATCATACAACATATACCACATAGGACCTTGGAAAATCAATTGGAATCAGATCTGATTAAAATCTTCACTTCCACTGAAAGCAACTGAAAGTCAGGCAACTTTACCTACATCGTGACAGATCATCAGAGGCTCTAGAATCATGAGACTGGGGACGTGGCCAGAACATGCAAAGCTCTCTCATGTTTCAGACCCTTCCACCAGGTCTCTTTCTCGCAAATGATGTAGGGCACCAGAGTTAAGGGATAACAGTATGCACATGGGTCTTGTTACAGTGTGAAGGCTATGTGTCTGTACAGTGAGCTTGTAAGTGCATCCAGGTCCTGCTGTTCAGACTAAGCCTTCCAAAGGCCTGATCCTCAGGCCTTTATTATGTACAAGAACTAAACTGCTTTAATATACTGGTAAGATTAAACGAGTTGTAACAGTGGTATATCCATATAAAGATTATTTCTAAAAGCAGTACAAAAGCAGGTATGGTTGTATAAAAATATAGCAGAGTATCAGGTTTCATCATGTGAAAAAGAAAACCATCCCATTCCACATCAGCATAACTGCACATTATATACATCAATATGATTGTAATGTACAAAACCTGCAAATACTTCAGATCTCAAAGTAAAACGCTCAAATGTTTTGCAAAACAGAAATATGCTCCACAGTAAATCAGTCAACAACAACATTGAAGTTCTCATCATTAATTTTCAGATCTAGGCCTATCTGAGATGAAGGGAATCAAATGTATTGGGTAAGACTGCAAAATAGAACTGCTTTGTGTAGCAAAACAGCTATGGAGTCAGTTTATCCTGGCGAAAATGGGTATAATTTCAACTAGATTCCAGCTTCTGACCTCCTCGTATCAGGGATAAATAAGGCACTAGAGATTAAAAGCCAATTTTTATTTAAAAGGTCTTAAAAAGGAACAAGAAGTAAACAAAAATTCCTTACATATTCATGTTCGCTTCTGTCACAATCATTTAAGTGTTTAAAGGCCAAAGTTCTTCCTGGGACCAAAAGCTCAATGATATCTTTGAGGACACTTTCAAATTTTATCTGTTTGCATTATCATAAAGATTAAAGCAAGGCATTGAAAAGAAGAGTATATTTTATGAATCTTGAATGACAACATTACTTTACTATCATACTTAAGAGACAAGGACTCATTGTTCTGATTTGGTGAGAAACATTACTGCCCTTTAGAAGTATGAAATGTTAAGATATGAACTAACTTTGGTGGCCAGGCAAAACTAAATCAGGAAATAGATCCTCACACATCAAGCACGTCTGGAGGTGACTAGTGAGTAGAATGACTTCTAAATGACATCTAACACTGACTGCATTTAACTTAAGACAAGAAAGAATATCATCACATGTGCATCCAGCAATGCAGGGATCGCCAGTTCCAAGAGTCCAGAGTTAGACCTTCCCTCCTACACTCAATGGAGTGTCACTAGAAAATGATGAGATTATTAGTATTAAAATTGTTCTAGATCATCTTCCCAAAATTAGCACGTAAGACCACCAACTTACTTTGAAAATTCATGTGAAACACACCTGCAGCATGGCTCCCCTTCTGGTTGCCTAACTGGTTATTTTGTTATACCTCCAGCATCCCTACGGATCTGTCCTTCCACAATCTTTACTGAACAAAGTCACTGAGCCAAAAGAAATCACGAAGCAAGAAATCCTTCTCTGATTTTAGCTCTTAGTCACTTGTGCTTCAAATTGGGAGGTGACAGCAAATTGGGTAGCCCCAGGATGCCCAACAGCACATAGATGCCATTGATCGCACAGCAGTGCTACACAGGGTGGGAGATCCAGCGAGATCCCAGTGCTGTTCCAAAGGATTTCCTTAAAACGGCCCTCCCCCTCAACTTTGTTAGGTAAAGGCTGGTGTTTTGAGGTAGCTGTTGCTCCTCCTCCCAAGCCCTCGGCTGTGGGACACAAGGTTTTCATCCCTCTTAGTTGTCACGTCTGTGCTGCAGGGGAAGGACACAGAGGCGGTGCTTGGTGGTGCTTCGCTGTAGGCCTCTTTCTCAGAGGACATGAACCACTATTCTGATTTCTTAATGTCTGGCAGAGATGGGGAACTGGATGAAAACCAGCTGGCGTATCTTCAGACTAAATACAGATGGAAGTGATGCTGGCTGGCAGTGGTAATTACTTTGAAGAACTGGCAAAATCAGTAACTTCTTGTTCATTTGTTGAAATTCAGAGAAGTTGCTGCACCCTCCATCAGGTTAGTTACAGCCTCCAGTTCTCACCAGAACTACTGAGGGGCCTAGGGGTGTTTTTCCCACAACTCCTTGGAAATATACCATTCCAAAAATTTCCTTGTTGGACAGGTAATGTCATGTCCATTACAGTGAAAGCCAGCCTTTCTGAAGTTTCAGACTCATCAAAAACAGGAGGAGTCATAGTCACCCAATGTAGGTAGCAACCCATTGATATAGGGAACGGGACACTGATTCAAATGTGAGATGTATAGGTTTAAGGTTCTAGTACCACAGCTAAGGTAAAAGCACCGACTGCATATTTGCTGCTCAGGACTGGAGATCCCCACCATCGGAGGTGTTTCGTTTTGTATAAAGAAATGTTTCTTGGAGTAGGGGCTCAAACTCTGGTCAATTGTACACTAAGTGAGTGCCATGGCCACAAAGCTAAGGAGTTAGTCACTCTCTTTAAGCCCAATTAAAGTTTGATTATTCATTTGCTCAGTTATTAAAGTGGACAGCTTGAAAAGAAATTTTGGAGAGAGCACCATGTAAGAATCTGAAACAGCCTGGCACTCTGGGCAATCAGCTTGGAAATGCAGATTCATATCTTTAGCCTCAAAGAACAGCATACAAAGACTTGATTTTTGATCTCTTTTGTTTTAAGTGTTTATTGTCAGAGGGAGACTATTTGCTATTTTGGAGAAGTGTATGAACTCTCTTACCAGAAAGTCCATCTTGTAACTGAGGCAGATTTCTTAACAAAAATTTGATTAAAACTGGTACATTCTGGGAAAAAAAAAAAAAAAAAACCTTTCTGTGCTGGTATACCAGCATTTTTTAATAAAAAGAAATATTTCACATAAAAACTCCCAGCCAGTTCAAATAAGAGTTTCATTGACCAGAAATCCTTTTCGTTGCTTATCAGATGATCCATTGCTCATATACCAGTTACACAGTTAGCATACTTGGCCTCCTGCCACGCAATCCAAGTACAGTTTTGAAGACTTCTCTGAAGCTCCAGCTAGCGAAAATTGTGGTTTCCATCCCACAAACCATGGCAATTCAGTAAGAACAGACCCCAATATGGGTCTATACTCCAGACCTTAATGAGGCTTCAAATGCTAATCAAGTGAACAGCATACAGCACAGTCATTTTGCATAATCTTCTTAATCTTTTTTTTTTTTTCCTGAGGTACAGCTTAAGTGCTGGCTTTGAGCTGATGAAGCCTTGTCATTAAAATCTATTAAGGTGCTTATACTAATCATTTTTAAATGATAGGAACGGAATGGGAGTCACCTGAAAGACTAACGTGCTTTCAGAAGGATTTTTAAATGGGGAAGGGGGTCTTTAAATCAGAAACCCCAGATGGCCAGATGGGCTAACTCTGCTTTTGCTTTCGCTATCTAAAATTAACCACTTTGGATCTGGAGGGAAAGTGGTGGAAGCAAGAAAAGAAGGAAAACAGAAACCCTGATCCATAAAACGAATGGCAAAACTCCCTCCATCTGAAGGTATGTCAAAGCCCTAAACTGACTGCAGAAGACTGAAGATGAGACAAAGGGCTCTCAGCAGTAAATCCGCAGGTGAAACTCACTCTTCCAGCTAGTCTGAGCTCACTGACCTTCAAGGAGTGATGTAACGCCTTCCCAGTTACTCAGGTTTTGTCTGTGGGAAGAAGTTTGTTTTTAAAAAAATTAAGAGGTTCTTCAATACTTTAGTTACCATTAGTATAACATACAACACAAGGTGGTTTAAAAAGACTGTTCATATGCCTACAGAGCAAGAGACACATTTTGTGAGTTTTAAAAGTAGCACAGTAGGGCACTGAAAAGGCTTGTAGAAATACATTTCTGATAAACTACAACGAAGAAGAAACTTCATATATTCAGCTCTCTCCTTTGGTTATGCCAAGGCATGCTGACATTCTTATATGTCCAATTACTGAAGAAGAACAAATGCAAACAATAAGAAATACCTCTAAATTTACTAAGAATGGCTAGGAAGTAAACATGGCAGATTTCGAGCATTTCTAAGTGTAACTAAAGAAAAATCAAACATTTGCTCCTGGAGGTGCCTCTCCCACAGGGTTACCAGCATCTCTTTTTCTCAGAAACAACAGCAGCTCTGCTAAGGTCTCACAGAGGAAAGCATCAAGCATTTACATTCCACACAGAAATGTGACCAAAAGGGATGATTCGCAGTTGCTCAACAAATCTTACAATAAGTGATTATTATTTCTGAATAAGTCTCATTGTTCACCTGCAGAGTTAACTGGAAGCAAGCAAAAACAGGGGTGGTTTACTGATAAAATCTTCCAAGAGAAGCTCTTTCTGAGAGCACCTCTCCCTGGCATGCTTGAGTGTGCTCTCCAAGGAGGCATGCTTACGCTGACCTCCCTTTCACTGGCAGGAGGCAGATGAAAGGCTCTGCTCCTGCCTTCGTCAAAATTAGCAGCAAATTTGTAAGGGAACAGAACCCGGCTGCCAGCACGCAGAGCATCCTGAGAATTTCTCATTCCAAGCACCACTGACATTTTACTGTTCTCTCAGTCTGAGTACTGTTTGTCAGCAGCTAAAACAAATGTTTGGAGACATACGTAGACAACACAATGAAGAGTCACGATGGCCCTAAATAACAAGAAGGCAGGCTAGAGAAAAGCAAAGATACAGATAGAAGCTGAAAAGATTGCCCTTAATGTCTGGGTGGAGTGCTGCTCTCCTGTTTAGCTCTTTTACATCTGGCAAGTTTTGCTATATCCTGCTCTGGTGAGTCACTCAGAGAAGTAAAAACAAATGAAAAAATACTTGTTTTAGAATTTTTTCCCTTTTAATTAGATGATGACAGATGTAGCTGTCAAAAAGGACAAAACAATGGTATCAGTCTAATTTAAAGCACATTCAGTTTTACTTTAGTGTCTGTGATGACCTTCAAAAGTGGAACAGTTTGCGGAAACTCTCCCTTAACAGATAGGCAGGTTGATCAAATGATCCGTCTAAATAAAATGTGATGTTATGAGAGTAAAAACTCCACAGATTGGACGGAGTCCTAAAATATGAGTGATTAAATCTCAGAACAGTCCTGGAAGAGATGAGTACCATATCTTTTTGGTTATGCCTCTAAAGCATAGCCATTTGTTGGGGTGGAGTTGGGGGAGAACTGTCTCAGGCACAAATCAGAGAGAGGTTGTACCTCCAGACAGAATTACTCCAAAAGTCTCTACCCTAGAGTGGTTCAGCACATGTCAGCGCTAAAGGAGAAGGGTTGTCAGGCAAGACCAAGTACACAAATCCTGCATACGCTTTTTCAGGAACTGCCCAAATCCGTGGACACACTGCTGCCTGCAAGCACTACAAATGCTCTTTGCATTATGGTGGCCACAACGTTTCTATGAAAAGTGTTCTGGAAATCTGCTTCTCTGTTGCCACTTTAACATCCTTCTTGTTCTCACTGTTTCATTTGTGTGGTTTGACTAGTTACCAAGACAAAAATGAAGAAGGCATTCCTTACAAGCACGAGGACTAAGGACTTGCAAGGGTGAATGAGTAAGTACTCTTGGCCTTTTGTGTGAGCACACCCACATCCACATTGCAGAGTGTTTGTTTTGGACTGGTTGCCCAGTAATGGAAGATATTCTCTTTATAAAATAAACGGTAGAAATGCTTGTTAAAAAAACACTGTGGAACGGACCAGGATAATACTCTCAGCTTGCTATGACACATAAAATGAGAGAGGTTAACTTTAACTTGAACTTCAGGAACACGGAGATCATTGTTTAGGGAAGCAGGTGTGGTTCAGCCAAGATGTTAGCCCTCTGGGATCATCTTTACAGAGACAAGCAATACCAACAGATTAAGGTCTACGTTTTTCTATCAAAAGCCAGCTCTCATGTCCCGACTCTCACAACATCATCTGAAGGCTTGGGGACTGTGTCCCTCCTAATTCCTGAACCTCGTGTCCCTGTCCCTCAAGCTAAGCCCTCCAACCCTGCCTAATGCCCTGCGTGCAGCACGGCTCTCGACATGCACATACATATCCCAAGAACGTGCAGCGTGGCAGTATGTGCCACACTGTGCTACTGCTTCCCACAGCAAATAGTTGTCTTGGACCAACTATGCCAGGCTAACTGCCTACGCGGCACAAATGAGGCTCTTTGTGGCTGCTTATCCCCTCAGCAGTGATGGATTAAGAGTCTGCTCAAGCAAATTACCGTGGGGCAGATGAGGGGATGACAAGGCAGAGTCATGGACAGAACCACTGAGAACCACTGTGGTGCCATACACTGTTACCTTGACTGTTTCTGCCCAAGGTTTGCTATCGGCAACAAATAACACAGCTTTCTTTTCACTCTGCTGACATAGCTGGTTGGGAACTCAAATCCTTCTCATTGCCTGGCCCTTTGTGTCCTTACTGACTGACCTGCCACCTCTGTCAATCCAGCAGACTCAATGGAAGAAGAGGAAATATAGATTCTGCTATTCAAGTAGTGCTGGGCTATTCCCGCCTAGGTTTGTGTTCCTATAGCAATTTGTATAAGGAGAGAGCATATAAGACATCCTGGAATTTAAACTATAGATGACAGTGAGACAAAGGAAGAGGGGAGGAAGAGGATAAAGAAGACGGGTACACTTTGGAAACGGCCTCAAGTTAGAAAAGGGGGAAAAAGGAATTAAAATTAAGTAAATCAGCATACCGATTGTTAAAAATGCTTGACTAAAGTTAACTAGATGATATAAGCAATGCCAAAAACCAAGGAGTATATAAATATATACAAGGATGAATAAGCAGAGAGTGCTGACCTTTGCTGCGAGCAGTAAGTGAGCCCTAAATGGAAAGGTACACTCAGAAAAATCTATCTGAATAAAAAGAGAAAGTCTACCCCAAAAGTTACTAACAGAATGGAATGTAAATGCTAACATACAGGGTCCATCTAAAAGAGCCTCAAACATATAATGGCAGAAAATAATATTATTTTTAAGTGCTCAAGCAGTATTATTGAGTGATTATCAGAAACAGCAGTCAGATGAAATAAAACAAGGCTATAAGGAAATCATGAAAGAGTCCAAAGCAATGCAAGAAAAAATGCTGAAGTATTTTTGGTCAGAGAGAATTAGGAGGAATAAAGAGTGATGCTGGAGTAAGTATTTATGTATCTCACAAGTGGAAGCCATGATCTCTTAAGGCCAAAGGAAAGAGCAAAGGAAAAGAGGCACTGCAGGAACTCTGGAAACGCAATTGCAAAGATCCACTGAGTTTGGATGACAACAAAATTAAGTCTTTGACGAATTACATCTATTACCTCTGAAACTGGCTACTGTAATGAAAAATATGAGAATAAAAAGATATAATAGACTCTCAAAACAGCTTCTAAACAGAAACTTTCAAAGGAAGCCATGAAAGTGGTGCTATCCATATGGGGGGTTTATATAAAAGCTATCATTGATCAAAAATTAGTGAGAGACAGAAAATCAGAAAAAGAAGCATTAAGTAGTTAGTCATTTCCTAAGCTTAAGAGCACCCCATAGACCAGCATGAGGATAAATATCGGGCAAATGCACTGACCAGAAGGGAAGGTTTTGCACAAAACTAAATTGCTTTGCACTCATAACTCTATAGAGAATTATGGGAAAAATAAGGAAGCTAGCAACATAATGAGTGATTAATTACACTCCAACCAAATGTGAAGTAACGTACACTGAAGGGAGCAGTATGATAGATTTTTTCCCCAAAGGTGATCATAAAATCATTACACCTCTTCCTCAAAGGCTCGTTCTGCATGTGGACTCAGTACTACACCGAGCGATTCACATAACAAATGAAAGATTTTACTATCTGTTATTCACAAAGCAATATGGGAGGCAACTGAATTTATCCAAACAAATGCATCAAAGGACTTTCAATTTTCGAAAGATTCAGGCAAATAGTTTCCACAGTCATTTTTAAACCAGGAAAATAATAATCATATATATGAGGTCATCAAATAAACAAAAAATAAAAGAAAAGGATGTTCTTTCCAACAAACATCTAAAATAACTTTCTAATGGAAATACTCATTTTTTCATGGAATTTCAAAGTTCCATTCTTCTACTAAATTAGATTTCAATCACTAACATCAGATTAACCACATCACTTTACCGTTATAAATTTGTGTGTTTATGTGTGTGTTTGTGGAGCGGGGTACTAATAGTGTTTTACTATACTTTTTCAGAACTTCTTTTCTAGGAGTGAATGAAAAATTAGATGCACAACTACCTACATGCAGAAAACAGCAACTTCAGGGATTGGTTTGAAGTCTCAGTCTCTGGACTTAGTTCAAATGGCAGCAAATTACAGGTCAAGTCCAGTGGATTAGGGCCCAGCCCATAAAGCTGATTAGTGTCCAAACAAAAGGAGTCCAACCATATCTGTACATCTATCATATGAAGTCTATTAAAAACCAACAGAGCAGTAGCACTGAAGTATTTATACATTTTAAACAATGGCTATTTTCCTACGGTAAAAAAGAAAAACAAACTAACTGTCTAGCTTGGGCTAGGCTGGGTTCACATGCTTTGTGAATTGAAAAAGGAGAGTGCAAGTGCGGGTAAACAACTGGATCGTATTATCCAGACTGTGCTCTGCACTGCGTGGAGAAAATGGGCAGAAAGAAAAATGAAGGAAAGACACAGCCTTTAACTCCTCCTCTTCTCCCAGGAAAAGAGCTTTCAGTCAAGGACAGCTGGGTTATACTAACAACAAATACAAAAGGATAGGACGTGTTTTTCAACCTGGAAATAAATGTCTAGGCAACACATCAGTGTGGTAAGGTTCTCTTACTCCAGAAAGGACCCACTTAAGACTAAAGAAATCTCAAATGCAAAACTTAGACCTGATCAGTGAATATGTACTCATTTTATGTTACCTTTGTCTCTGTTCTTCTCCTTCCCTAATGAGTCCAGTTTCTTTCTTAATGACTTCTTCCTCTTTTGACCATCTGTAAGAGAAAAAAACAGGAACCAAGTGAAGAGAAAGACTGCTGAACAAACTGTTGCATAAACTGTAAGATTATGGACTGAGATTACTGTGACACATGGAGTCAGGAAGGGTGTGGGTACATTTCACAAAGGCTGGGGACCATCCGAGTCCTTCAGCCCTGAAGAGTGCATCTGCCTCAGCAAACGCTGAGGCTGTGAACAGGAGGACCAAAATAAATCCCGCAGCATGCTGCTGGGCACATGGACACATACATGGTCCCACAGCCTGCATGGCAGAATGGAAAGCTAATGCTGAAGACTTAACGACGTTGCAGAATGCTCTTGATAGGCAAGTAAGTGGAGAGCAGGTCCCATAGACCCAAAAGCTTGTGGTTTCCCCTCATCCATAGTCACAGGACTATGATTCAACTGGGGAGCTGGAGGTAGTATTTGGAGAGGGAGGATGACTAACCTCCGGGAACAATTCCGCATACCAGTCACGCCAGTTGGTTGACAACTGATCACCTTCACGTGACCCATCTGATCTCAGTTCACACCAAGAACCTGCAGTTTGTGTACAGCCTGTCCAGATTGGTTCAGGTGGATTAGAATCTTAGAGAAATTATTGTTCTGACACAATATATATTATCAGAGTTTTCTCAAAGGTATTAAGGACTAAAGATTTTAAGAAGTGGCATAGGCAGGTTTATTCTTGAAACAACTATGTCAAAAGGCTGGCTTTCATTTTTTCCTTCAACGGCATCTTTGATAATGAAGAGTCGACAAAAATCCATTTTGTTACGTCTCAACAAATACCAAGTTTAAGACTGAGCCTGCTTTTACTCACCACTTTTTCATTTTCTAATTCTAAAGAAATATGAAAGGTCTATACTAGCACAGGCACCACTCTGGCTAAAGGTTAATGGACGTGCACCTTTGCCTTACTGGTTTTGTAATAGGTCAATAATTCAAAAATAAACACACGGTATTTGTGTGTCACTTGTATAGTAAAGAAGGACACCAAAAAATCTGCCTCAACATGTTTACTTAGTTTTGTAAACCAATGTCTTAAGTGGGCTTTTACAGTAGGGAACATACTACAGATGATTGCAGTGGATGTCTTTGGATTAACTCTCATCCTTGCAACTACAGCCAATAAGATAATATAACCTGTTCTCCCATCTTTTACCCTTAACTCCTGTTGAAAGCCATTCCCAGAACATAACTCTATTAATAGAGAGTTGGACAAATTCTGACTTTTTCATGGTCCTTTTCATGATCTTTTATTCTTAAACTACAATTGCTTGATGCTCTATATAGCTTCTGTTCCATCCTCTCCACTTCAATGATTGTAGTCTGGATATATTTAGAGAGAGCAAGCATATCTGCTCCTAGCACTCGTTTAACTTGGACATTCAGTTTCTATCTCTTGAAGCAGAGGTAGATTCTCATTCACTTGTTCTACTAATAGCCCTTTTCTGCACCTGCTCCACTGAGAATTCGTCCGTCTGAACTATGACTGACTAGAATTGATAAGGTATTCCAGATGAGATGTCACCAGTATAATGGTGGTAACTCATTGCCTGATAGGGTCTACGATTAGATTTTCCTTTTTCATAGCCAGATGACAAGTTCATAACTCATAGCCATACTTTGATTGATTTATATGCCCAGTTCTTTCACACCTTCTGACATTTCCAGTTCATAAAATTGAGCTTATTACAGAAATTCTTCTTTCACGTCTTTGCAAAATGAATAGTCAGGAGACCTGCTTGCAGATACAACAGTATTGCTTGTTTTTATAGGTTTCCCTCACTCTGTTTATGTTCTGGCTTTATATATATATATGCATGTGTGCGTTTAATTATAATCCATGTTACAAATTCAAGTTCACAGTAGCCTTTTGATAAATGACTTAAACCTCTTTGGAGTCTCACAGCCTTTATGCTCCAAAGACCTATTTATAAACATTCTGACATCCCACTGAAGTCTACTGAGATGCAAAAATGAGAACAAAGGTTCAAACTGGATCTAAAATATAGTGGTTTTCTACTGTAATTACACAACTGCAACTTGGGGGGGGGGCGCTAATGCTACGTAGTTAAACCTGACAGAAATATCAGAAAAATGAATGATGTTCATTATAGAACACGGAAACAAATGACACTGTTTTCCACTTGGAAAATAGGTCAACAACTTCTAGGGCCAAACTATCAATGCTTTCTCATGAACCTTGTTCATAATTGATGATTCCTTCAACTCCAACAGTGAAATTATAATGCCTACTGAGAGAACACTTTTGCATTTGTCTCTGCAAACCTTGGACTTTGTATACAAATGACCAGGCCCAGAGGAACGTGAAGAAGTAAGAAACAGTTCTGGAGATAGACAAAACTCGAAAATACAGAGAAGTGTCCATTCCATGCAGGAGTGCATACCTGAAGCACAAAAAAAACCAGTAGATTGACAGAGGGGAGATACTTGTGCAAATAGATGCAGTTCTGCTGAATGTCAGGACCATTTACATCAACTGAGAGTTTACCTCCCTAAGAGAAAGATTTTCATTTGAAAATAAGACTGGGAAGCATCTTATTGAAGAGCCAGAGCATAGGGGATTTGCCAAGAGGCCTGAGTTCCAGGTCTCCTCCCTCATCAGCAAAAAAATATGATTAATTACAGTCTACATTCTACAAAAATAAATATGTTTTGAAATGACTGTTGATTTAGGTTATGTCAGGCGTAAGAACTACAGAAATATTCATGAAGTGCCTGAGGGCTTGGGCAGCCCTGGCACTTCTAAATCTTGAATTAATCCAATTCCTAATAATGCTTAGTCCTTATTACCTGCATTGTGTTTTGAGAACATAATTACTACCTAAAGCATTCTTGGAAAACAGGCAAAGTATATCCTTGTATGACACCTACTGTATATTTCTAAATTAGATAACATTTATGCAAAGTATTACTACATCAGCCTAAAGTACTATTAAATATGGTCCGGTATTCTTATTCGTGGCTTGAAAGTGTTTAAAATACAAAACCAAACCACTTGGTTTCATGTGGCCTTCTGCATATAATTTATATACGCACATAATTTATATAATTTCTGCATATAATTATACAATATTTGTTGTCTTCTTTCAATAGATCAACAATGTACTACTTGTCTAACAGACTCCATTCAAGAATATTAGCAAGACAAGTGAAGTACTCAAAAGACAAAAAACATCAAAGTGAAGGAGTCGGACCAGAAATGTCTAAGTGAAGGAAGTTGCATTGTTTTATCCATTTCTTAAACCATTCTGACTTTTCTGAAGAAAACCTGCCTTGATAGCTGTGCAGATCAGTTGCTTCAGAAGTGAACTTGTTTTTTCAATAATTACTAATTCTTATCTTCGCTGCATTTTTCAGTGCAGTGCATGCATCACTCTCTGAGTATCTATATATATTAAGACTCACATGACAAATATTTTAAAAAATGAGAGTCTAGAATCAATCTCCTGAGTGCATATTAAATTGCTACGTGACCTGTTTTTCCAAAGTGGTGAGCACTTCCAGCTCCAGATAAAGCCAAAAAGACTCTTCTATTTGAAAAACTAGGTCATCTACTTTGGACTTTGTCTCTGAACAGAAGCCTACAGAAATCTGCACGGTGAAGAGCAAGAGTATTTCCACTGATACACCTGACTTTGGATAAGAATTTAGGAGTCTGACTTTCGGGTATTATTTTTGAAAATTATGGTTTACGGTTGAAATTCAACCACAGTGTGAACACTAACATGATTTAACTTTCACTAAAACTGCCGGATTTTGGGTAGCCCATTTCAAGGCCTGCATTTCACTCTAACTGAGACCAGGGTTCTACAACCTGGGTAATAAAAAGCCATTTTCACGATCAGAATATATAAATTCCAGCTTAAGAAGCAAAAAAAGGAGGGGGAGGGGAAGGAAACTTCTGAATATAAGTTGTTGAAATATTTTTCATGGCAGATTTCTCTGTGCAAGATCACCTACCAGCACCAAATATGACTCTGAGTGCAGACTGAATTCTGTTACTCTTACTTACTCAAAGTACTGCTTTACTCATTTTAAAGTTATGGAAATCAGAATGCCTATTTAGTAGGTATGGGTGTTGCTCAGCATAAGCAAAAGCATCACGAATTAGGTATCCGGAATTTGCTCAAGATGATGCAGTTAGCGGCACACCTGGAGTTAACAATCAGGAATTCCTGCCTCTGGTTTCATATTATGTCACTAAACAGTCACTATACTATGAAGTCTCAATGCATTTTCTTTAACTTGTTTCTTAATTAAAATACTATAAAGTAAAAAGGACAACAGCACCTGAGCTTTCTCAGTCATGTTTCTGACACTATTATAGTGTTAGATTTCAGATGATGGGAGTTTTCCTGGGAATAAGTTTGAAGTGAAGCTATAACAAAAATATGATTCCTCCATGCTTCCTTTCTTTATACATGGGCTAATGAATTACCCATATGAATGGACCTTCTTTTTACGTCACTTACGTAAGGACACTTTTTTGTTAACCAAAACCCCTTTTTCTAATTCATAAGCTCAATTAGAGGCTTTAAACTAATTTAACTAAGTGATTTTTTGACAAAAGAAATCTTTTGTTGCTTATGGGTTTACTAAGTAAAGAACACGCCCCTCATTTATTGGCATCTTCACTTGCTTATGATAGTTGTGTTTCTTGTCCATTTAGGGCAGAAAATTTGTCCTGTTCTACAACTAAGTGTTATTTTCACACAGAATAAAGAGAGGAGTTATGTGAGAGATGACTATCACACCCATAGCTCATTTATCAAAACAAATGAACGATAATTCTGATATCGAAGGCTATAAGAGATTTCTAAAATACTTCTTATTAGCTGTATTCACAACCATTTTTGTTGGATGGGAATCAATAACTGGATACAATTACCTGTAAAGGAAAAAAAAAAGATATATTTTCTAAAAGTGTAGTCAATTTTATCGTGAAAATTACTACCAATGGCATCAC